GGTGAGGAGTGATGGGTCTGCAACAGTACAGGGAAGGCACTTGGGGCAGAAGAAACAGCACAGCCGAGGTGTGGAGGTGAGACCGTGAATGGAGCACGGAAGGAGTGAAAAGGTAGCAGGGTCCCAGTTTAGAATGGGAAGCAAAAACATCTGGGTTACATTCACCTGCAATTGGGAACCATTGAGGGTTTGCAAGCGGGGGTGGGGTGGAGGGGTATTTCCAGCCTTTTTCATAGTAACCTGGTAGCAAGGAGAAGGCAAGGGATTCCAGAGAGGACAGCCAGAGCTTAGTCTGAGCTTCAGAAAGGGGTAGAAAGTGTCCGTGACCCTGAGTGGCACCTTACCTTTGGTTAGAGGCTGTCAGCTGCCAGCGACCAGGACAGACTCTGTCCCTGTGACCTCTTCAGAGAGTGACCCTTCAGAGCCCGCCCCGCAGCGGGCTCTGACACTGCGCTGAACTGTGTTCTTGTTAGGAGCCGATCAGCTTTAAGTTCCCAGAGTCAGCTTCCCTCTGTGTTGCTGTTCCTTCGGTGCAAGCTCTTATATCTCTTAATGAGTTCAAAAGGCCCTTTCTGGGGTTTTTTGGGTTTTTTTGTTTTGTTTTGTTTTGTTTTCACTTGAATTTAGCCCTTGGTGAAGGGGTCAGGGGAGCATCACTTGCTGTGGCTTCTCTGGCCTTTGACTCCTCATCGACCTGGGCCACAGAGACGGTTGCCTTCCTCTGGCCCGCGAGCAGTGTCCATTAGTCTACAGTCTTTCCTTAAGCACCTACTAAGTGCTAGATCCTGTGCTAAGGGATGCAGAGGTGACGTGGCTGGCAGTTGCTCATAGTTTTAGTGGGAAAAGACAATACCGATCACATTTTTTGGAGGCTTTAGGGAAATAGTACACCTCTGTTTACGTCCTGAGTTCTGAGCTAATTAAGAGAGAGACAGGGAGTGAGATGGAGATCACACTCCCAGCTTTGTGCCCAGGGAGGCTGAATCGGGGGATGCATCATGACTTCTGGCCTCAGCTGGGCTCCCAGTGCATCACAGCTGATGGAATTCACCCGTCCCGAATTGCTGGCCTTGCTGTCGCAGGGGCAGAGCCCAGCATCATACCCGCAGGAGCAGGCCGAGAATGCGGGCATCCAAGGCTCCAGGCTTCCACCCTCTTGGTTGAGATGCGGGCCAGCCTCAGGCCCCACCTGGCAGGTGAACAGGCCCAGAGAAGTTGATGGCCTTGCCCAAGGTCACACACGAGGCCTGGGCTCAGGGATCGAACCCTCCATGTTCCCCTGACACTGGCTGACCAACGGGGTACCCTAGAGCCCTGGGGTCCCCAGTGCTGCCTCAGAGACCCAGAGAGGGGGCCAAACCAAGAGGGGAGGCCAGCTGTCCACTCTTAAGATCTCTTTGGAGGAAAGAGGCTCCACTGGGGAAAAATGGTTTGAAAATCACCCCAGCCCGTTGCGCCTGTGTCCTTCTGTTTGATCTTAAAACGGAGGGATCAGGGAGCAGCGCAGGCCGTGCACTCGCCTGACCCTCTGCCTCGGGAGCGCAGGCCTCAGCAGTGGCATGAGCCTGCCCCTACAACTTGGACGGCACGGCAAAGAAGCCCTCGGGGGTCTGGATCCTCTCTCCCACCTTCTCAATCATGACTCAGCTCAGCCCCCGTCGTCTGTTTCCTCATCACGGGGAGGGAAGAGAGGCACCAGACCTGTAGCCGAAGACACGGAACCAAGAAGACACTCGGTCCCGTGTTTGTTTTCACGGGGACCCACACAGAACAGGGTGTCATCTACATTGTTGTGTTGGTGTTTAAGGCTCCCCCCCCACCCCCGCCTGCTGCAACCTTGATTCTTGTTATAAAATCTCTGGGGACTTCCCTGGTGGTCCAGTGGCTGGGAGTCCGCCCTCCAATGCAGGGGATGTGGGTTCGATCCCTGGTCGGGGAACTGGGATTTCACATGCTGCGGGGCAACTAGGCCCGCACGCCACAACTAGAGAGGAGCCCGCACGCCGCAATGAAGAGCCTGCGTGCCGCAACTAAGCTCCGAAGCAGCCAAAAAACAAATAAATGAAAATAAAAATAAAATAAATTTTAAAAATCAAAAACAAAACAAAGCTCTGGAATCATTTAGTCCCCGCTCTCCCAAGTTGGCCTTTATTCCGGAGCGATCTAGATGGGAGAGGCCTGTGGTGTCTCACCCACCCACAGGCAGCCCTGGGACCTTGGAAATGAACACGAACTCACCCCCAAAGGGAAGCAAGTCAGGAGGCAGCATACAGTGGGAGGAACATTCTGTATTGCTGCCCCCGCAGCCGCCAGGCTCCGGAACCTGAAACTGCCAGATACACCCCGGACTCTTCTGGCGGGAGCTTGGAGAGAGTCGTGTTACTGGAAGACAGCGGGCAGCCCTGCATGTCCATCTCCCAGGAGGGCAGGTTTTGCAGAGGCCCAGGCGGAAGGACAGACGCGTGTGGTCTTTGTTCCTACAGAGGCCCCGTGTATAGTAGGTGCTCAGTAAGTACCTCAAGAGAGGAGTCTCGGAGGACGTGAGGCAGGTGCAGTGCCGGCCTGGCCACACTTAGAGCTCAGTTGTATGTGAGTGTCCGAGTTTCCAGGTGTGAGAGGCTGGGCCTCTCCCTGCAGGTCCCCAGGCCAGCCCATCACCTCTGCTCCCTGTTGAGGGGGACTGACGGCCAGAAGCACAGATGGGGTGCAGGGTGGGTCTGTGCCTCCCCCGGGCTTGCTCATGGCCTGAGGAGTCAGTCACTGCCGTGACTATGATCACCAGGGGAGTCAGGTGCTTAGGAGAGGGCCACGCAGTGGCATCGACACTGACCACACCCTGTCCAGAATTTCCAGTCTCCGCGCCTGAAGCTGGAGGTGGGGAGATAGCAGAACGTGCTGTCCAGGGGCGTAGCCAGGACCCCTCACAAAATGTCTCTAGGGACACAGCCATCAGAGGGATACCCAGGCTGGGCTCCCCTTCCAGCTGTGGGGGTGGGACGGGGTCAGAGGTAGCTTCTGGGGGTGGTGGCCGTTGAGCTGGGCTTTTAAGGGGGTACAGGGATGACAGCATCGGGGCAGAGGCAAGAGAATAAACAAAAGCCCAGGGAAACAACGGCGGCTTAACACGGCAGAGCCCGGGGGTGTAGGAAGCAGTAGGAACACAGTTTAGTAGGGGTGGTAGAGACAGTCACCAAGGGCTCCGGATGCCAGGCAAAGGGGTCTGGATGTTATTTGGAGGCAGGGGAGACACTGTTCTCTGCAGAGAGCTGAGAGCACAGCCGCAAAGCCAGGTCTGCCTATACCTTGCCCTGGGACCTCAGACAAATTGCTCAGCCTGTCTGTGCTGCAGTTTCCTCGTCTGTATAATGGGGATAAAATAATAGTACCTAGTGGATCACGGTGCAGATGAAAGCAGAAGTGAGAGCACTTCTTTGCACACAGCACATGTTTGATGATTATTAGCTACTGTTATCATTACTGTTACCGTTCATTCATTCACAACCATTTCCTGCGCTCTGACTGCCAGGCACTCATCCAGTCACTGGGGACACAGCAGTGAATAGTGTGAAACTGGTGGCTTATGTTCTAGAGGGGCCCCCCAGACAGTGAGTGAGACAAACAAGGTGAGCCTGGCATTGGCCAGAAAAGAAAGCAGGGAAAGGAACTGGGTCGTGCTGGGTTAGGACGGGGTAGAGGGAGCAGCAGTTTTAGGTGGGATGGTCAGCAAAAGCCTCCCAGAGGCTGTTCCGGGGAAGACTGAAGCGGGTGAGGGGTGCACAGGAACGGAAGGAGCGCTTTTCAGCAGGGTGGTGACCCCACCGGAGCTTTGCCTGGGGAGGCTGGCCTGTCAGTGGCTGTGCGGGACAGAGGGGCTGGAGGAGAGACGGGAGGGGCGTGAGGAAAAAAGTCAACGTTTTCTATTTCTTTGTATTGTGTTCTTCTATCATTCCTATTCTCGTGTGCCTTCCGTTATACACAATGTGTGCATATACATGTAACTTGGAGATATGGGCACAAAACATCCTTCTCTGCCAGGAGTGGAGGCCAGCAGTCAGGGCAGGAGTGGGCGAGGAATTGGCTGCCCCAGGGGTGGGAGGAGGGGTCCGTGGGCCTGGAGCACGGCGGCCACCTGAGCGGGGCTCTGGGCGGTGGTCTTGACAGGTGTGGCTGAGGAGGGAGAGGAGTCTTCCCACATCCAGCCAACGCAGGCCCCACATTGGAGAGGCGGTGGGGCCGTGACCTCAGGGCCCTCAGGAGATGAGGGATCTGAGCGGACCTGGGGATGGCTGGGGGCACTGGACGTGCATGATGGAAGCCAGGGCTGCGGAGCAATTAGGGACCCTCCACGTAGGCGTGGGAGACTTGAGGGCTGAGATTGGAGGAGGGAGCTCATTTTCCTGCTTTTCAGAAAGCGACGGCTCATTAGTGTTATACAGTTACTAGTCCCCCCGGTGCAGTGGCTTTCCCCGGTCGGTCCAGGCAGGGTCTGATGGAGCAGTGATTTTATGTCATGCCCATAGCAACCACCGCCTGCTGGCCTTGTCACACTTCCTGGCATCAGGGGAACCAGCCTGAGAGCAGAGCTGTTGCCCTGTGAGGGGCTGTGCACCTCTGGTTTGCCTGTCCTTGGGTTCATCCAGCCCTTCTTCTGTGGTTGTCAGAGCTGAGGGCAGGTGTCCCTGGTGGGGCCCTGAGGATGCGTGACCTCCAAAGGGGGTGGGCATGGCCCAGGCAGGCCTCACTCCCCTCTCATCGGTGGTGACAAGTGTCCCCTCCGAGGCCGCACGGCCTTGACTCGAGTGCCTGTGAACAGTGGGCGGGAAGGACCGTCAGCCCACGGCTGTTTCCACTTGGGGTTGGGGCTAGGCTGGCTGGCTCTGGGCCCTGCGTATTCCGGGTGGGCCCCTGCCAGACTCCCATGGTGGAGGGGAGGCGATGTCCCAGGGCCTCTGAAGGGCAGTGACCCAGGACAGCATCTGCCTGTGCCCTCCTCCTCACAGCTGAAGTCTATATCGGCGTTGGGAAGCCGGCAGAAGCCACAGCCTGTACCCAAGAAGCTGCCAACCTCTTCCCGATGTCCCACAACGTCCTGTACATGCGAGGCCAGGTTGCCGAGCTCCGAGGAAACATCGAGGAGGCCCGGCGGTGGTACGAAGAGGCCTTATCCATAAGCCCCACCCACGTGAAAAGCATGCAGCGGCTGGTGAGTCTGAGCGCTGGCGGGGCCTCCAGCCCTGGACCAGGGGCCCCCTGGGAAGCAGCACATAGTTCTTGACCCTCAAACCCCGTTCCCGTTCCAAAGGCCAGATGCACTTGGCCTGCCAGGCTGTTCAAGGTGCATAAAGCCAGCGAGCGCCGTTCCTGTTGTAGTTTACACAAATGGAGCTCATAGGAATCGGCAGCGCACAGCCTCAGCGACCCTACCTGGGGGTCCTGATCGGTGTGAGAGGAGAATTTTTGAGTCAGCCGTCTCCGGCCAGCAGTCCAAGCCACCTTGTGGCTCTGGGTTTAATAAAGACACATGTGTGGCCCTGGGCACTGTCATTGTCATCTGGGTCTCCGAGCTGCTTATAGCAGCCACCTTGGGGGTGTCCGCACCTTGGGGAGCCTTCAGTACAGAAGTCAGAGCACTTTACCTCCTGGGGGGCTCTCTTACCTTGAGGGAGCCGAGACCCCAGCCTGTCTCCGAGGCCACTGGCTAGTGGGAGCATCCTGTCAGAGGACGCGGGCAGCCCTACTGCGCCCAGAGGACCCAGGTAAGTCACCACAGCGTCCACACTGCATACGGGTGTGGTGGCTCTGAAGCCGCACACGCCCCTCCTGTGGGTGCCCGGTCAGGAACCCGGGGCTGCCCCACTGCTCCCCTCCCTTCCTTGCCTGGGAGTTGGCCACCCGACCACCTCGGTTTCAGTTGGGCGGGGTCAGTTAGACCACTCACACGTGGGGCACAGCGGCTGCACAGGAGCTGCCCATCTGCTGTCCCCTTCCTGCGAGAGTCTGGATGGAGACTTGGAGATGAACCGGGTCCAGGGAGCGGGTGAAAAGCTGCTTTCTCTGGGCCTGTCGGCCAGACTTAGCTTCTGAATTTGTATTTCATTCTTAGCGGTAGGACATCTCTGATTTCATGAGCCACGGGAAGGGAAAAGCCCATAATGCAGCCGAGGTGTCCTTCAGGTGGGCAGCCCTCGGGAGCCCAGCGTGTATATCAGGGGTTGTGACATGGAGGAACGGGCATCGGACAAGGTGTCCAGGGACAGAGTTCCGGCCCGGCTGTGTCACTCGCTCGCGCTCTGACTTTGGGGAAAGCCCGTAAGCTCTCCGCACTCGGTTTCCTTGCTGTAAAATGAAAATATTCAACTAGATAGGCTGTGAGTTTCTGTCCAGTGCTAAGAGGATACGGTTTTGTAACCAATAAGTAAAATGTTCTCTAGAGGGTCCCAAAGGCTTTGTTCTCTCACCATTGCTCACAGTAACATCGCAAAATGTAGACGGAGCTGAGCAGTAACTAGTGGTTTTCAGCAGAAGAGGGCCCAGGTGCCCAGCATTAGGAGCCATGGGAAACGTATGCTTCTGAGCCAGATCTGGGTTCAAACTCAGCTCTGTCCCTGCCCCCGGGACACCTTGGGCTAGTCACTTAACCTCTAAGAGCCTCGGTGTTTCTGTGCATTGAGCTGTTCCTTACCCAGTTCATTTGTGAGAACAACATGAAATGGTTTACATCACGAGGCCAGCAGAGCTCCTGGCACCTAGTAGGTGCTCATTAAATAGAAAAGTGAAGACAATCATTTTCAGTTTTAAAAATAAATCAGACCTTGTAATAATCACAATCATTTAATTTTCAACTTCCCTTTATGAGCATTTTGTAGTTCAATACAGCTTTATAAATAATTTTACGTATTATCCAAACATTAGTTTGTTTGATTAAAAATATTCCATGGCTTTTCATTTTTGTCTCACTATTGTAAGAGGAATCTGTAAAGAGCTTTTGAGATCTCCCTGCTTTTGCTGAAGCCTCACAGAAGAGGTATAATCAACACCGAGTACCCAGCCTTTTTATTAAAAAGAGGCAGCGTGTTTCTACCCCGGGGCCTATGAATTATTCAGAGAAGTATTTCTTGTTCGTCCCCAAGGGGAACACATGAGACAAAAGATCAAATAGGAAAATCGCACCAGGAAAGTTTTCTGTTTCACCTTTGGAGCTTGTCAAGACACATGAGCTCCCTGCCAAATGCCAGACGCTTTCCTTTCTGAAAGGAGCGGCAGTGGGCCCAGCGGAAGAGAGCTGGTGAGCGAGGGCCGGGTGATGGAGGGGCCTTGCCTGTTGGATCCTGGGCAACGACCGAGCCTTCTCTGGCCTGGAGACATTAGCTGCCTTGGAGGTCTCACCAGGAGAAAATTGCGATAATAATAAACTCTTAAGACATCTCCACACATCCTGATACATTCAAAAAGTATCCAGACTGGAGGCAGATTGAGACCAACAGGCCTACAAATTTGAGGAGTTCAGATTCTCGTGGTCCGAAATTGCCCAGTGACTGTGATTGTTGTGGGTCCCAAAGGGTGGCTTGGCCAGTTCCTTCTTGGTGACCTCGTAAATGATGCACGCTGGCCTGCGTCCTCCCAGCCACAGCCACAGCTGGCGGGAGCCCCGCTGCAGCCAAGGTCAGCTTCCCCTCCCACCGGTACTGCCGACTCTCCTGGTGCCCATGGAGGGGCAGCCCCTGGAACCCAGGCCCCCAGCCCTGAAACATCACAACCCTCTCTTTCCTGCCTCCCACCCCAGCTGCACAGGAAAGCTCTGTTTCTTTGGCTCACCCTCTTGGTGCATAAAGAGGCATAATCTTAGCCCCAGACACAAATGAAGCATGGGAAGGGAAACCTCTTACTGAGTCACAGAAGGTCCTGCCTCTACCCTCGTGGCAGCCAGACTGGTTTGCAAGCCCCTAAGTGAAGACGAAATGTCAGCAGGGAGATCAGAGGCCGCCTTTTTACCAGGTGACGTCCAAGGGAAGAGTCGGGGGCTCTAGACTTATGGGGCAGAGGAGGCGGAAACAGACGTGAGCGTTGGCACCTGCCTGGCTCTCAGGAGTGGGGTGCGCAAGTGACAGGGTGGGCCAAGGAGGCCTGACCACCAGGCCACGGCGAGGGTCAGAGGTCAAGAATAGAAGGAGTTTGAAGGACCTGAGTGCAGCAGCGAGCACCACCCCCAGAGAACCAGCCAAGGGGCTTCCAAGGGAAGGAGCCGACTGCAGGCAGATTGCAGGTCATGGGAAAAGCCCAGAGGATGGAAAGTGCGTCTGCGTCAACCCTGATGCTCAGAGAGGAAGGAGAGGGGCCAAGGGGCAGTCGAGGGAGCCGATTTGAAGGAAGGAAGCCACAATGTGTGTCACAGGTGGAGACCAGGGGCTGACGGTGGCCACGGAGAACGGTTAGCAGTCGGGGCACGAGCTTGTTCCCTGAGGAACGATTGTTTGCTACCTTCTAGGGCAGGTTAGTGGGAGGATGTGCCACCACGCAGCCCAGCTCGTAGGAGAGGCACGATTTCAGAGAAATGCAAACACATTAATATTGTTAAAAAGCAATAACGACCTGGAGGCAGATGGTATTCATTAAAGTATTAAATGTATTAAAGTTAATACAGGGTCAGACTTGACAACAGAAATGTAAATTAAACCCCAGTGAAAACTGACAGTTTTCTAATGGTTTCAGCCTTCACAGATGTGTTTAAATTCACATACAGGGCAAAGAAAGAAGAGAAATAATGTGTTTAATATTAATAACGAGTTAGCACAAGACAAGAGAGCTGAGTGTGGGCAGATAGTAAGGGAGCGGTGAGCTGACGGGATAAGGAATTACAAAGTGATGTTGTTGACAAGGGGAGGGAATCATAGAGTGATCAGACTTTTTTCCAGAAAATCTAAAGGCATATTTTCATATCATTTTTGCATAAGTATATAACTTTACATACATTTGCATGCCATGGTAAAAAGCCTTTCACTCCCAGGACCTGAGAGAAATTAATGAAACGTAGAGCAACTGTTTGCACACCAGTAACCCTGTGCTCAGGAGGAGGGGGTAGAGGAGGGAAATGGGGCTCACGGCGGACTAAGGGCAGAGGAACGGCCTCTGGGTGATACCACCCAGGCCAAGGACAGGCACGGACTCAGGGTAGACAGGGACACGATGATCAGGATAGGGACAGGCTCTGCAAACAGGGCCACCTGCTTGCCCTCTGATAATGTCACCCTAGGCTCCTGAGGGCAGTGTGTGAGATGGGAGGGTAAGAAAGGAACAGAGGGGCTTCCCTGGCGGCGTAGTGGTTGAGAGTCCGCCTGCCGATGCAGGGGACATGGGTTCGTGCCCCGGTCCGGGAAGATCCCACACGCCGCGGAGCGGCTGGGCCCGTGAGCCATGGCCGCTGAGCCTGCGCGTCCGAAGCCTGTGCTCCGCAACGGGAGAGGCCACAATAGTGAAGAAGAGCAAACAGAAAGACAAAAAAAAAAAAGAAAAGAAAGGAACAGAGAGAGCCTTCAAGAGAGAGATGAACGTGGAAGGAAGCCAGAAAGGCTGTGTGTGGGGAGCTGATGTTGGTAAGACTAGAGGAGAAAATACTGCTGAGAAAGTAACCTATCTGGAGCACATTACCAATGAACTCGACAGGTCGAAAAGAGTGTGAAACAGAAGCAGATGGTGGGGGTCGCCCAGGGCGTGCTGGGGGCCGGGGCCGCAGGAGAGGGAGACAGGCGTGCTCTGCTCGGGCGGTTTTGGGGAGGGTGTGAGCTGGAGAGGGGCTAGGCCCAGAGGGCCCCGCTCGTGCCCCAACCCCGCCCTGCAGGGAAGGAGGAGGACTGACGTGTCCCCAAGGGATGGGCCTCCAGCTATGGCAAGATGAGGGTCTCTCAGAGCTAATGCCAAAGCGGGGAGAAACCAGAGGGAAAGCACCAGGGACCACGCCCTTGAATGTCGAAGGTCCCACGACAAGGCTGGACACCCGGACAGGGACAGAGGCCATCTGTCCTTCAAAGGAGGGTAGCTAGGAGACCGGGGGCGGGCGGTGTGAATTTCACCCGCTCTGCCACAGGAGGTAGTGAGAAAGGCCCACTGGTGGAGCTCCCCAAAGAAAGGGGAGGACGATGGGGAAGAGAGACCATCGGAGGCCAGGGGTCAGGCCCCAGGGGTCCTCCCAGGAGTGGGACGGAGGCC